CTATCTGAGTTTGCCGATGCATGCTGATTTCTTAGTCCAACCCCAGCTTTGGAGGGTACCTTACTGGTGCTTCTGTGTATTGTTCATATTTACTTACAAAACTTTTAGAGTGCGTGAGAAAATTTCCCTTATTTAGAAAGTAAAGAAAATGGTCCCCACACAGGAGGACTTGGTGGAAATGCTTGGAAACAAAGGGGCACGGCAGGGTCAGGTGACTGCGGCGAGTCGGGCGGGCAACAGCTGTCCGTATGACTGACAGCAGCAGTCTCAGTTGGGTCTCGTTTATGCATCTTGTGTCCGGCTCTTTCATTTTGTACCTTAACCTTTTTTTTCCCACATTTCTTTTTTCCTTTCTTAGTGTCCATAATATGGATTCCAAGTATTATAAGAATCCAGTGATTAGAATGTCTAAAATTCTTCCCTAGAATTTTGCAGTTTTTTTTTTTTTTTGAGATGCAGTTTTGCTCTTGTTGCGCAGGCTGGAGTACAATGGTGCGATTTCAGCTCACTGCAACCTTCACCTCCCAGGTTCAACCGATTCTCCTGCCTCAGCCTCCTGAGTAGCTGGGATTACAGGCATGCGCCACCTCGCCGGGCTAATTTTGTATTTTTAGTAGAGGTGGGGTTTCACCGTGTTGGGCAGGCTAGTCTCAAACTCCTGACCTCAGGCGATCCACCCGCCTCGGTGTCCCACAGTGCTGGGATTATAGTTGTGAGACACCATGCTCGGCCTGCGGTTATTTTTTACTGCTGTCTTATTTATGACTAGCCTCCCTCCCTTGCAATAGGTCACTGACTTTCCTTCTATCTAAACTTCTGAAAACCTTCCAGAGACTTTAACTGTGAGGCAGTTTGGGTCCTTTTAGCAAGAATATATTTACAGCAGAGCCTTTTGATTAAAGTTTGAAAAACTATTCTAATTTTTCTCTGTAAATATATTTACATTCTGCTTATATACTCAGACACAGGAAACTTCAAATGAACTGCTGTGAGGATCTGGTTCGTTTTAAAAGTCTTTGTGTGCTAGTGGGCAGGAGAGAAAAGAACTGCAGTTTTGCTGTTTGTTTCATTGACTCTTGTTTTAAGCCAATAGCGCCCAGTATTCCCAGGCAGTCTCCTCTCCAAATACTAACCAGGCCCAACGCTGCTTAGCTTTTGAGATCAGACAAGATCAGGCACATTCAGGGTAGCATGGTTGTAGGCTTTATTAATTCTTAAAGTTCATTTGGAATCATGAGAGTGGCGAAGAAAAAAAATAGAAAGGAGATTTTACTACCACTGTTAATAAAAACATAAAGTAACGATTAAAATAATGTAGTCTTGGTATAGGAAAGGAAAGATGGGGCCAGAGTCTACAAACAGACCCATTTATAGATGAGATTCAGGGTAAAATAAACATAGCATTTCGTATCAGTGAGGAAAAGATTCATGGTGTTGGGACGGCTAATTAGCCAATTGGAAAAAGATGAAGCTAAAAATCCCATCTAAAATATACCAAAATAAATTTCAGGTCAATTAAAGATATAAAGGGAAATTTAAAATATCAAACAAGGATAATTATTTATGCACTCTTTTTTTTTTTTTTTTTTTTTTTTTTGAGACTGGCTCTGTCACCTAGGCTGCAGTTCAGTGGTACAAACTCAGCTCACTGCAGCTCCTGGGCCCAAGCGGTCCTTTTACCTCAGCTTTCTGAGTAGCTGAGACCACAGACACATGCCATCATGCCCAGCTAATATTTGGAATTTTGGTAGAGACAGGGTTTTGCCATGTTGTCTAGGCTGATCTTGAACTCCTGGGCTCAAGTGATCGCCTGCCTCGGCCTCCCAAAGTGCAGGGATTATAGGCCTGAGCTACTATAGCTGGCTTGTATGTACTTTTGAGATATGGATAAGTTCTTCTAAGAGTCCATAATATATAGATTTCATTACTTAGAGATTTAAAACTATGTTAAAGACAAAGGCAAAATTACAGGCAAAAGATGAAATGGGAAGAAAATATTTGCGGCATGCAGTATAACACACAATAGGCAGTGTTCTTGGCATTCCTCAGTTTCCTCAGATGTCATATTCCAGCTATCACCTCCTTCCGAGGTAGATAGTGAAGATTGAATGCAGTGTGATATGTGTAAGGTCTCTATCCTGGAAGACACTTAGTGATGTGTATTCCTCGTTGTGTTCCCATCCCTCTCCAAGCTAGCCAGTTTCCCTGGGTGAAGTGAAGACAAAGCTTTAGTTCACAAAATGGCAGATAGTTTTAAATGAATATATTTTCTGTAAATTTAAAATGAACTTCAATGCAATGTGTTTTGTGGGCAGTTTGGAGAAAGATGCATGTGTGCTAAGGGAGGCCTAGCACTCGCAAGAAGAAACACTTCTTGGAGATGTTTTATTTTTGCTTGAATTGATCTAAGAGCTCTACCTAATGACATTCAGTGATTATACACAACAACCAGCACAGTTCCTGCATATGTAATAGGTGCTTGTTCGATTCTCACCTTTATTCTCTCCCTGGTAGCACATACATGTTCTGCCTCTAAATTGTTGATAATGATCATAAAATAGATCTTTTACTTAAATAGTGGAAGTGTTACACAGTGACTAGGTCTTTCACACACACAGTGACTAGAGCACATTAGTAGAATACATCTTTTTCCTGGTTAGGCACCTAGAACTGAATTCACGCATGCCAGATGGCATATTCCACATGCAGCATCTTCCTTACTTTGCTTTTAGCCGATGACATTTTAACCAGTATCTTTTGTGAACTGGACATGGTGACAATTGAATGTTCACTCTATATGAGTATTCATTTCAGGGATAATTAGATTGCTATGACATTTAGCTAATATATTCCATTGTTTCTTAGGTGTCTGTTACTGAGATCTGTTTTTCCATTACAGCACTAACTACATTCAGCAGTATGATGTTAAAAACTATCATTAAACACATCCTTCCATCTTATTAGTACTGTGAAAGTAAAACTTACTAATGACATTGCAGGGCGATTGTCAACCTCTACAGACCTCTCCAGTCTACTGCTTATTTTGTTAATTTAATTTAATTTAATTTTATTTATTTATTTATTTTTGAGTTTTGTTCTTGTTTCCCAGGCTGGAGTGCAATGGTGCAATCTCAGCTCACCACAACTTCTGCCTCCCAGGTTGAAGCAGTTCTCCCTCAGCTTCCTGAGTAGCTGGGATTACAGGCATGCACCACCATGCGTGGCTAATTTTGTATTTTTAGTAGAGACGGGGTTTCACCATGTTGGTCAGATTCGTCTTGAACTCATGACCCCAGGTGATCCGCCTGCCTTGGCCTCCCAAAGTGCTGAGATTATAGGTGTGAGCCACCGAGCCCGGCCAATAATTTAACTTTAAATAAAACCAACTCAATTGAATTAAGATCCCCTCCATCTGTAATAAATGCCTAGTTGCATTTTGCATAAACTGATAAAAGCCAATCACCATTTTAGGCAAATAAAAATGAGATATTGGTTTCATTCACTCTTAGGGAAATGTATGCTTGTTGATAATGAAAACACATTAGTTTTTGAGGAACTTACATTTGAACAGACATCAGGAAATCCCTTATGGGCAAGGATTGGATTGAACTTTTTTTCCCAGGCTATGCTATCCAGTTATTAGAAGACGAAGACTGGGCACGGTAGCTCATGCTTGTAATCCCAGCACTTTGGGAGGCCGAGATGGGCAGATCACCTGAGGTCAGGAGTTCAAGAAAAGAGGAAAACTAAAATTAATCGAGCTCTTAGGTACTATTCATAGCTTATTAAATCTTTATGTGATTTAATCTTATTAAATGTTTAGCTAAGAAAGCATTATTATCCCCATTGCATAGATGAGACATGGAGAATTTAAGTGATACTTTCAGGGCCCTACCTAACAATGATGATTTGAGCTCAGGTCTGTCAGGTCTCAAATGTCATTCTTTGTGTTACACTATTCTGAACCAAGAAGTGCAAATTGTGGCAAGGGACTCAGCCATTTGAGGAAACAACTTTGTCTTTTCCATTGCACCTTTTGGCCTGTAGTCCATCTGAAAAACAGTGGTATTCTGCATTAATTGGTAGTGAGTGATGGAAAGAGAAAAGGTCAAAATAAGATTGTGGGCCACTAGGCAAGGCTGTCCACAGCAGTGACGGAAGTAGAACACAATGTTCACATTAGAAGAGATGAGCTGAGGGAGGTGCAGAGACCTGCTGTAGGGTGGCTCTGGACGTCCGGGCCTAAGCCAAGGGCAGCATTGGGGACCTGTCTTTTTTGTCTTTCAGCACAAGCTTTGAACACCCAACATGTGCTAGACCCCCTTCTAGGCCAGGGGATCAGCAGGCAGTTTCTGTTCTGCCAGAGTTTACGTTCTAGTCAGGAACACATGTAAGAGAAAGATTTTCAGATAAAAGTAAATACTCTGAAGACGATCGGGATGGGGGTTGCTTAGACTTGGTGGCCAGGGAAGACCTCTCTGAGAAGCGACCTTTGAGTCTGAAGCAGAACATGCCAGATAGTGGGAGTAGCGATTACAGGGGCAAAGGCCTGAATGAGCTTAATGTCTTCAGGAGACAGAAGTACAGCCAAGACAGCTGGAAAGAGCAGTGGTAAGATCGTGCAGGGACCTGGAGCTGGTGGCAAGCAGTTTGGACTTTATTCTAACAGCAGTGAAATTTCTTTGGAAGGTTTTAATTAGGGGAATGACATGATCTTCATGTGCCAAGAAGATGAATCTGGATGCTGTGGAGGGGGACTATAGAGGGCTCAGAACAGGGAGGCTGTCACAGGAGGCAGGAGGAGCCACCACAGGCTGGGACCAGGAAAGCAGTAGGAAAAATTGGAATAGAAGGTGACCACCTTCATCTCCAGAAATGCTCTAGATTTGGATTTGGGTAAAACTAAATTAGTGGTCCCTCATGTCTGTCAGTGTTTACCAAATTATAAATTAAAAAAAAAAGTCCTGAGGATCCGTTTAACATATTTAAAAATAATAATGGTGATAATCTTTTAGAGCACATATACTAAAATTGGAACAGTGCAGAAATTAGCATGACCCCTGTTCAAGGGTGATACAAATTTATGAAGCCTTCCATAAAAACAAAAAACGGTATCTTGACATAAATACTTTAAGTTTTTTGTGAAAAATAACTGTATTTTCCAAAACAAAAAATTTAGCAAGAAGAGGCATCGTTTTTAATTTTTGCACGTCGCTTTAAGGTCTGATTTCCTGAAAGTCAGCTAGCTTCTTGCATCTGCTTCTGGCTCCAGTCTCATGCCATCACATATCTTATAGCCACTGGAGGGAGCACAGATGAGGCAGATAATACCACGTTATTATTATGAAGTGGTTTTGAGCTTAGACCTCCTACAAGGGCCTTGAGGATCCCAGGAACCCCAGACCATCCTTTGAGAACTGCTTCCATGAAGAGAGAGGTCATCAGATAGCCAGGCAGAGAATGACAGGGTATTGGCTGCGTGGAAGTCCTTCCACCCGTATTGCCTGTGCTGTCTTTTGTTCCTGTGTATGCCGAGTTAGGGGTGGGGTGGAGGGACAGTGAGGAAACAAGCTGAGTGAGCAGTTTGTCAGTGCCTTGCTACTGCACACAAACCTCAAGGCTCGTGACAGGGAGGGGATTATGTTTCTGCTCCCACACTACACAAGAGGACCCCCCCTTGTCTGTGCCTGCTGGCAGCAGCAGTGAGAGCTGAAGCAGAATGGTGTTTGGTTCTAAATATAATTTTTCACCTTCATATTTAAAAAGAAATGTAACCCCATTTTACTACTGGCTACCATTTGGTCACTACCTGCTATGCGCCAGTCTCATGGGAGTCTCTTCAGAGCCAATAACACATGGCTCTTTGGGTGGTGTCAGTGTTTGGCAGTGTATTATTTTAACAGAAAGCCATTTTCATTTCCATTTAAGTGTGATTATATTGAACTGGGGCCAGTTTTCTGTGCCATTCCTACAGCTTCCCCCATACAGTAAAACATGTTAATATATGAGATCGGTGCAAAGATAGAGCTCTAGAATATCACTTCACCAAAGATGACTGAGAAACTCGTATTTCATTAGGTAAGCAAAATCAGCACTGCCCCACACTTTTCACTACATATATTTTTCTCAATTTAAATATGATTATTTAATTTTACAGGAAGAAACTCCAGTGAGCAACAGTTTCTGTTGTTATAGCTGTTAATGTCATTCTTCAGTTATATAGGATTTTTAGGGAAGAAATATGAAAACATTCATAAAAATGTTTTATTTTTTATTGATTTAAACCAGTTTGTAACATTTATATTTTCTTAGATTTAAAAAAAAAATCTAAGACATTCTAATGAATCATTTATATTAAAAATATGTGACCTTTTTGATGGTGACTTAAGAGCATTAATTTTTGAGGTCAAAAGAGATCAGTCTGTAAAATAGTTTTGACAATGTGAAACTATTTGTAATGAGCATTTTCTGCTTGCTCTGTTTTCAGGCCTTCTTCTTGGTCTATGCTCTGGGATGTTTAAGTATTTACTATGAAAAGGTAAGATGCTTTGTTTATATACAACCCACTTAAAATTTCCCTGTTGTTAAAAGCAGTTTGTACTAATTTCTGTATTGCATTAATACAAATGTTTCTGCTCTTATTGAATAAAATAGGAGTGGAGTTTTTCTCTAAGTTTTGGATTTGGGTCTGGAAGTAGGACTGTTTGAGCAAAAGACATCTTTGACCCTTTCAGATTGCATTTCATTCCTCTAGACTGGGAGAGGTACAGTATCTTATACTGTATAATGATTAGGAAATCTGTGTCAGAACAGTGTTAAAAATTAACAAAAATAAAACCTACCAGTATTTGGCACCTACTATGTGTGGTAAAAGCTTTATGTTAGGTACTTTACATGCTATATTTCCAATCCTTACCTCCACCTGGTAAGAATATACAAATAAGGTAACTGAGGCTAAGAGAAAATAAGTAATGTACCCAAAGTCACACAGCTAGTCTGGTTAGAATAAGTATTCAAACCAATGTCCAAGTAACTCCAAAGCCTGTGACTTGGTGCTGTAGCCTGCTACCTTTAGAAGAGAGATAGTTGTGCATGAGAGTGGTACCATCACTTCCTTCCAGGCAGAGGAACTGGGGGGCTAGGGACACAGGAAGGAGGGAAACTTTTCACTGGACATTTTTTGTACTTTCTAAATTTCAAACCACATGTATATATAGTATCTATGCAAAATAATGCAAATAAAATTGAAAAGTAAACAGAACAGTACATGGAGCAGAAAAGATATATTCTGTTTGGCTCTTGAGAGCCACATAATTTTATCATTCACCAAATTCTAATTGCATAAATCTTGTTCGTGGGTATTCCAGCAGTTTGGAAGCAGTGTCTGCCTGACAAATGGCTCGTTTTCCCAGATGGCGGCCATTCTTAGCCCCACCGTTGCTTCCTCTCATGGGCCTTAGCTGAAATTTGTTAGAATGTTACAGCTGTGACATAAAAGCCTCTACATCTCAACAACATTGGGCTGTGTTGGAAATTCAACCTTCTCTATGAGACTATTGCTTATTAGAGGAGGGCGTTGAGTGTTTTTTTACAGTGGGATCTCAAGGTCACACAGGTATGGAATTTTTGCATTAGGAACAACTGCAAAAAAAAAAAAAAGAAAACCTCTAGCCTATTTACAGTATTATAATCTTAGGCTGGGACAAACTGAGCCAGTCTCATGAGTGACTGAGCCTTAAACCAGCTGAAGAATGTATTGTTTCAGTAACTACTGAAATGAAGCAAAAATTTTCCAAACTTACCTAGTTATTTTGTAATCATTGTATTTTTGGTAACGATACATCAGAATATTCTCCAGACCAAACCATTTGTATGCTCTTTGACTTCCACATTAGAAACAAAATTCTCTTTTAAGCAGTGAATTATTAGTTTGTATCGTCAGATAACAAATTCTCTAGTTTCAAACGTTAAATGGAGGATGTTTTATTCATTTATTTATTTATTTATTTTAAGACGGGGTTTCACCATGGCCAAGATGGTCTGGATCTCCTGACCTCATGATCCGTCCCCCTCGGCCTCCCAAAGTGATGGAGGACCTTTTTTTAAGTTTTACTACAAAATTATTTTTTGTTTTTCTAAAACGTGACCTGATGTAGAGTAGCTACACTTAAGGATCTGTGAAATATTGTCACAAACTGCCCTCCAGCCTTGGTGGGCTTGTTACAGTGAGCCCCCTGCATGCACTGATTCCTCTACCTGGAATGTCCTTCCCAGCCTACCACCACCCCCTCCACAGCCTCCAGCCCATTTCCCTTCGCATCTTCTCATCCTCAAACACTACCTTTTCAAAGTCCTCTGGAGCAATGCTGCACAATAGAAGGACAGTGAGAGCCTCAGATTGGAGCCATATATTATAATTTCACATTTTCTGGTAGCCACATTAAAAACATTTTTTAAAAAAAGAGGCACGATTTTAACACTATATTACATAGTTTATTTGACCCAACATATTCAAGGTTATTGAAATCGTTTAATGTTCTTTTTTTTTTTTTTTTTTCCATATTGAGTAGGAAGTCAGTGTGTTTTCTACACTTAGAGCTCCTCTCAGTTCGGACTAGCTATGTACGGCTGGCAGCTGCCACATTGGACAGTGCATGGCTAGACTTTCTTGCTAAATTGCTCTGCTGGGAGTGAGCCAAGGTCGTGCCACTGCACTCCAGCCTGGGTGACAGAGTGAGACTGTCTCAAAAGTAAAATAAATAAGTTGCTCTGCTGGGGGAACTGTTTTATTTGCTGCTTCAGCTCCACACTTAGTGTAGATGTTGATGCACTGGCTGAATGGAGAGTGAATGCATACATAGTAATGCTTTTTGTTTTTTGCAAATAACTTTAGGAGCCTTTAACGATAGTGAAGCTCTGGAAAGCTTTCACTGTAGTTCAGCCCACATTCAGAACCACCTACATGGCCTACCATTACTTCCGAAGCAAAGGCTGGGTGCCCAAAGTGGGACTCAAGTACGGGACAGATTTATGTAAGTAATTCTTGGTGTGGTATGTGTGAAAATGGAGTTTGTATCAGATTCACCCCAGAACATCAAATGGATCACGTGTGCTGTTGATGTTTTCTAAGAAGGTGTCCTTTGGGTTTAGGTAAGATTACTGGATATTTGGATTGGGGTAAGGGTAAGTGCCAAAAGAGAAAAGGTAGTCTAAGGAGAAAGCGTAGGAGGAGAAGCTTGCAACCCCAATTCAGGCTTTCCTTCTTGTTTGCCCTGTAATCTTAGAAAAGTGTTCTATAGTGCCCAGCCCCACGTCTCATTAGCTATGAGATTGGGTAATCTGGGACAGTCTCTTATCCTTGGGCCTCAGTGGCCTCATCTGCCAAGTGAAAACAATCATACAATTATACTAATCGCCACAGCCATCATTGAGCCCTTGCCATGTGCCAAGTATTTTACTAATATTTTACATTCATCATCTTGTTTAATCTTTACAGCAGTCCTATGTAGTGGATACTCTTAATGTCTTCATTTTCTGATGGGGGACTGCAGTTTTGAAAAAATAGGTCACTGCCCTTGATAGTTTCCAGGGCCAGTAACTTGCAGAGCTGGGCTTTGAATTCTGGAGCCCAGGCTTTTAGAAATGTCTAACAGTATGGCCTCCCTCGATCTTTTCTTTTTTAAATTAAATCAATATTTATTTAATTTTTTTTTGACCTTAATTTTAGGGCCGGATGCAGTGGCTCACACCTATAATCTCAGCACTTTGGGAGGCCAAGGCAGGCAGATCACTTTGAGGTCAGAAATTTGAGACCAGTCTGACCAACATGGTGAAAGCCCCTTTCTACTAAAACTACAAAAATGAGCTGGGCGAGGTAGCAAGCACCTATAAGGAGGCTGAGGCAGGAAGATTGCTTGATCCTGGGAGGCAGAGGTGGTAGTGAGCCGAGATCATGCCACTGCACTGCGGCCTGGGTGTCAGAGAGGGACTCCACCTCAAAAAAAAATTTTAGGATTGGGGGTACATGTGAAGGTTTGTTATATAGGTAAACTCATGTCACAGGGGTTTGTTGTACAGATGATTTGATTACCCAGGTACTAAGCCTAGTACCCAATAGTTATTTTTTCTGCTCCTCTCCCTCCTCCCACCCTTCGTCCTCAAGTGGACCTCAGGGTCTGTTGTTCCCTTATTTATATTTATAAGTTCTCTTCATTCAGTTCCCACTTGTAAGTAAGAATATGCGGTATTTAGTTTTCTCTTCCTGTGTTAGTTTGCTAACTCTAGCTCCATCCATGTGCCCACAAAAGGCATAATCTTGTCTATTTTGTGGCTGCATAGTATTCCATTGTGTCCCCTGATCTTAAAGTGGGAGTCTGGACCAGGTGAGTTCCTCATTCAGCAGATAATGACTAAGGGTCTGCTGTGGGCCAGGTACTGTTTGAGGTGTCAGGAATACAGAAGTGAACAGGACAAACAGAGCTGCCTTTGTGGAGCTTACATTCTGGGGGGATGGGGAGGGACACATAAGCAAATGACTACATAATGTAGTTTCAGGGACTGATAAGCACTGTAAGAAAAAGCAGAGTAAAGGCTACCCAAGGTCAGGTGCAGTCCAAAAATATTAAGATATCTGCTGGGCACAGTGGCTCATGCCTGGAATCCCAGCACTTTGGGAGACTGAGGCAGGTGGGTCACCTGAGGTCAGGAGTTTGAGACCAGGCTGGCCAACGTGGTGAAACCCTGTTTTTATTAAAAATGCAAAAATTAGCCAGGCGTGGTGGTACACATCTGTAATTCCAGCTACTTGGGAGGCTGAGGCA